GAGGGTCGGCTTAGTCGATCAGTCAGTCAATCCGTCAGTCGGTCGGTAGGTCGGTCGGTCCAGTGGAGTGGAGCGTTACGACAGGTTAAGGGTTGCATGGCCCGAAGTGGTGTCTCTGCCGTTAGCACTGACGGATCATGTACTTGCATGTCTGCGAATAGACCCGAATGCGGTACCAATTTGCCTGTATGCCTGTGTGTGAAGTAATGTGTCCGTGGAAAGACGATCTGGCCAATTACCCGAGCCGCATTGATCCCGAGAAACCAGCCAATCTGGCTCCAGCCGGAGTGTAGGTGGGAGAATTTTGGGCCTGACTGGTATCCGCATCCGCATCTCCGTCTCAAGATTCGGCCCACAAACCGACCGTCTGCCTCTCGGTGGATGTGAGGCTTTCTGGTGGGTGTGGAACAGCGTGGCGTGCAGAAGCATGTGACCGAAGACTCATCAGAGAGTGCAGATGTGGAATCTCAATTGTACAGACGAACAAAGAGGAGTCTGATATGGACGGCGATGCAAAGAGAAATGGTGCCCTAAGGCGACACCAAGGATACACACGACTGAGTGCAAAGTGCAAAAAGGAAAGAAAAACTGGCAACTGGGGGGACAATAGAGGGTTGCATATTGATACCCAAGTGTGCCTGAGCATGGTAAATCGCCTGTGGAACATGTCGTTTGAGGTGTACATGCATGATAACATGCCTTGTGTTACATATGCGCTTGTGCATTATGCTATAAAAAGGGAGAATAGTAAACATAATATCGAGTATTCTGTATATTTTGCATCACAAATAGGCGAGCTCGTGTTTGTGAGAGAAGAAAATATGTTGGTCTATTCATATAGTTTGAGTTGTGCGTTTCAATAGAACAAGTGAGGATGTATGAGGAATATGTCAGGATAGCATTCCAGAAGAACTGAGTAGGGTCTGATCAATTCATGGAGCAAGGTCATGAGGATGTAGGTCATGGATGATTGGATAAGGATGAGAAATATGTGAAGAAAATCTGGAGATACGAGACCTAGCAATCAAGAATCCCCGGCATATTCGACGCCAAAGTAGTCTTGATGATATTGTCGAACTGTGCAGCACATAATTAAGGAGAAGAGAAGGCATATTATCTGAAATTCAGAAGAAAAAGAGATTAAGTAGCCAGGTATTCGAAATAAAGAGACAATTATTAGACCAATGGAAATAATTGGAGCCGATCAAAGTATTGTTCTTTAAGACCTGCATCAAGAAGATGATTTGAGAATTAAAGTTTATGCCAGCTTTGTAACCAAATAAGAAAACTTACGTCAAACTTTTAGGTGAGAATTCGGTAGAATGAGACCATTTGCTTATCAATTCCAAAGTAGGGTTGCCTCGGTCAGGAGATTTAAGGTAATTTAAGAACCAATGTTTGAGTTATCCAACAATGCTCTGAAAAGGTCTTATGATTACAAAAGGGTGGACAATGTGGACTACAGTTCCTTTCTTGCCTAGCTTTCATCGGCAAGCCCAATAGGAGTGGTAACGTCGTCAAGATATTAACGACGCGGTATATAATCCTGTTAGAAATGTTGATAAGATGATGGAGCGCGGTCGAAACTAAATTTAGGAATGGATGAGAAGGCCTGTTTGATAGGAAAAGCTGTAAGAAAGTCAATGAATCAGCTTTTGTATACCATACATATTTTAGTGTTTGTTTGACCTCTTTATCGCAACTTGGTCGGAACGACAGAGGAACCTTGTGGAACGTGCCCAGGTCTGCGTCCTCTGGCACAACATTCACGATGCTTTCAGCACCGGACCGTTGATTGGCACATTCCCAGTGCCAATCTGATAAGTTGTAACTCTGCTAAAGATGGTGCCTCTCACTAACGATGTCGGTGAAACGTCTGGGGACTTACCAAGTCAGCTATCCGATGCCGGAAATCATCATGAATACTCTGGCAGAGGACACACGACCAGGTATGCTCCACAATGTCTTCCTGTTGCTCCGACTAAGTTGCAAAAAAGAGGTCAAACCATCATTATACTCCTAAAGCAGATTGTGACCAAACCTAAGGCCACATCATCTTGGTCTTCATGAGAAAAAAACATAATGAACTTTTATTACTGAATTGAATGGGAAAATAAGAGATTTCGCTATGCGAGTGTGTTTAGCATCAATCGTAACTAACAGTCATTTTAGTTTGAGGTTCGCTTAACTCAAAAAGGTCTCCTAGCTCCAAAGATATTAATGAAGTAAATGGACTACTACATAGCTGGTCGAAAAAATAGACAGCCTAATATAATAAGAGTTCTATATAAGCAGTTTCGAGTTGTCTATCGAGGTCTGTCAAGCTCTTTTGAAGCTTCATATTCATTCAGCCAATGGCCAAACCAAGCGCCTAGCATCCCATATAAGCCTTATTATGATTTCGTAGTGACAACGTATTGCGCTCTGATTTAGAGCAGATAGACGGCTCACTTCAACATCTTGAAGGCATCACAAGTTATTAAACATTTACACTTCCGTAGTTGACTAAAGAATAGGCTGATTCAATTCTTCCACACAGACTGGAAAAAAATTTTTTGGGCTCACTAAATGGCTGTTGTAATTGCGTGATAAGAACGAGCAAACTACATGAATAGCTAAAGAAAGAGCCTATTCCATGTATATCTGAAATAAAGGAATATCCATAAAGCCTAAGTCTATTTTAGCCGAATTATTTGGAAATACTGTCTTCCACCTGTATTTTTAGTTTCGTGTGAGTTAGTTATGATATGTTTGAATAATGAGAAGTGTAAATAAACATTTGGTGGTGGTGGTCTGTGTGGGGAGGAGAGGGCCGACAAAACTGGACCAAGTAACAAACGAATCCGGCCCAGGCAAGTTACAGAAAAATTCATAATAAAAACAGTAAATCGACTTATGAAACATGCATACGAAAGTGCAATCGCTAGCTAATCAGACAAGGCCGTCATAGGAGGTTTTGCCATGCAATAAGTGAAGGAGATGGAGTAGGATGAGCGACTACCTTTCCCAGATGTTGAGGTCATTCGCTCCAATGAAAGACTATTCAGAAAGGAATTACATGCAGGAATAAGCCTCAATTTCCAGTCTCATAACACCTACAAAGTGAAGATTGGAATATTAAGGAATTTGACCTTCAGAAGCTTAAGACTAAGAAACATGGAGCTCTGGGAATTCATAGAAAGGAATCAAGAGGTCAAAAAAGCAGATATCAACTTGCATATTATGAAAATAGAATAATGAATAGTGAGGAATACCAAAAGTGGATATGCATTCCCTCCTTCTAAGAGGATAAAAATTGCGTCTGCTACTAAAGAAATGGAACATCCAGGTGACAGAAAAGGTCAAGACAGCACTCTTCATCAGCCTGCCAACGCAACACGCGAAGCTTGACAAACCGGACTACTTAGAAGTTTATCATATAAAATGAGGCAACTGTGAGTAGAAGTATACTGGTGAAACAGGAAGAAAAATCAGCATACCAAGCAAGGAATATTAAAGATTCTGCAGGAACATGGATAGGGAAGGATCCAAAATAGAGGAACACAGCACAGACGAGACATGAAATCAACTGGAAATCGACGGAAAGTCTGGCCGCATATGGTGAAAATTCATGAAAACGCATCTCCATAGATGTGCTAACTAAAAGAAATCTAATGAACAGGAGAGGGAAAGAAGTCCGAATCAGCGAAAACTTGGAATATTATAGATATGAAGACCAAGATATTGTGGCCTCTGTCATGT